AGCGAGCGAGAGAGAGAGAGAGAGAGAGAGAGAGAGAGAGAGAGAGAGAGAGAGAGAGAGGGAAATTTCTCACTTACGGTGATGTGGTTTCGTCTTGTTGCCTCCCTTTGAGTGAAGGTGTTTGTAAACGTCCGAGAGAAGAGGATAGTTGTTGGCGCTACGGTACTGGTAATTTGTTCGACTCTGTCAGCGGTTATACACTGAGCGATCTTGTCCAGTGTCGCAAAAGTCGATGTAAATTCTATGAATCCCCTCCCACCGTTAAGACGGGATACAGAATATATTAGATACTCACTGCAGTCGACCTTCAGTGCGGAGATGACACATGGTTACGATGACCATTTCAGCAAATTGAGATTGTCTCAACTCAATGATCATCAGTCTCCATAGTAACGTACCTCTGACCCCTGACCTGACCCCTGACCTGAAGGACAAACACAGACCGAACGTGTCATGTGATAGCAACTTTGGGCGGCCAACTTGGCCCTGGATATTTTCTCGGTTGCTTCCCTTACGCTACAGAAACACTGCATTTGCTTTTTAAAGCTTTCTTTTGGGTCCGTTCAAGAAGACACTGGTCTCTAGAATGGGGTCGGGGTGGGGGGAAGGGGGGGGGGGTTTAGAGGGGGGGGGGGACGCGAACATGTTTCATGGGGGTGGGGGGGGGGGGGTAATGCCATTTTGAAACTGACTGCACTGTTATTTGTGATCCCTTACATTTTCAGTATAATTAAAAATGAAATATTAAAATATATTTTGTTCAAATAACACACACACACACACACGCACGCACGCACGCACGCACGCACGCACGCACGCACGCACACACACACACACACACACACAAAACCAAGCAAATATATATAAATAATTAGTGTGTATTAACAGTTACAAAGTAAATTAACATGACACATGTATTTATAGAATAATAATACATTCTGGCCAAAAAGTATCTCCATACTGTCTATCTAGCTTGTCGCCGAATCTATTGTTCTCCCCTATATTAATTACATCACATATTGTTTAGTAGAGGGTTGGCTAGGGGCGGTGGGGTGGGCGGAAGGAGGGGGGGGGGGGGGTTGGAGATATGAAAGTCTTGACATATAATCAAGGGATGTGGGGAGATCTTAACATATACTCAAGGGAGGTGTGGAGATCTGAACATATTCACAAGTTGAAATGGGGTGCGTGGGTCTTGCCATATACTCAAAAAAAAAAAAAAAAAAGGAGGGGAGGGCGGGGGCGACACTGGTTTAAGAAGTCTGTTTACGGTTAGTCACTGCGTTAGCGCAGTGGCTAAAACGCTTGCCTGCAATCCCAGTAATCGTGGGTTCAGATCCATATTCAGGTAGATTAGTATATCTGACATAATCCTTCCAGTTGGACACAATCTCAAACAAGCACAAGTCAAGTCAAAACACTGTTTTCCCCGTTGTCAGTTTGAATAAATGTGGTCAGGAACTGTAAACGGCACCTTGTATTGAATGGCGCTGCTTCCTGGCAATTTGTCCATGTGTACGGTCAGTGTAAGAGCGTAATAATAATGCGTTAATGTCGAACCAATTTCTTCTTCTTCTTCTTCTTCTTCTTCTTCTTCTTCTTCTTCTTCTTCTTCTTCTTCTTCTTCTTCTCTTCTTCTTCTTCTTCTTCTTCTTCTTCTTCTTCTTCTTCTTCTTCTTCTTCTTCTTCTTCTTCTTGTGTGTGTGTCTGTGTTCTGAAGAAGAAGAAGAAGAAGAAGAAGAAGAAGAAAAAGAAGAAGAAAACAACTAATTTCTTTACTCCTACGACATGCTTTTTAGGAAGACAGTGGGTTTACGTTAGTCCCCGCCCCCCGCCCCACAATGGGGCATGGAACCCTCACAGAGATCAGAAATATAATATATCACGAATGAAATGTGTATACAACTATTCAGAAAAGAAAATTATACATTATTGAGGTGGCCAGTTAGTCCCCAGCCGCCCCTCTTCCTCCTCTAAAGCCCCTGTTTGGTGGGGGTACGCGGCACTAAGCTCCCGATGTGCGGCTCCCCTGACTGCTAATTATTCATTACGTACAAAGCTAGTCAGATCTATACCACTTTCTGCTGACTTACAGTTATTTGACTGACAGTAATTTTTTTTTTCTAGTCGTTATAATTGATTTGTCATTGACGGAACAGTCCATCATGATGTCATGCACGGCTGCTGCTCCGCCTAATTGATTCCAGTGATAAAAGTCCAAGAACCGCTAGTCCATTGTGACGTGTTTGTGTTTATTTCCCCACCAGCTGATATGCACATAATTTATCACACCTTCCATCTTCTCATCCTCGTCGTCTCCTTAATGTTGAATGTATCCTTGCCTGGTCGTACAGACAGATGAATACCTTCTGCCATATGGCGCCAGTCTGCACGTGCCAATGTTTACAAGCGGAGCTATTTACCCGCCAGGGCTAGGAGAGTAGCGATTTCTCACAAGGTTGAGCTGTTTTCGCGCGCCCAGGAGGGACCAAAACATCAGGAGCCGGGGCCATAAATTCACTTCTGGTGGTCAGAGATGTTCGTTTGTTTGTTCACGAGGAAAGTTCTAGTATATTTAGGGTGAGTAAGACTGCAGATGTGAATTAGACCTTGTTCTGCTCGGTTGCTGGACTGTGTAGTTTCTTTCGGCGTCTGTAGTTTTGGAGAAGTTTTAGTCCATATTTGGAATTAACATGTTGGTGAATCTTGTGTAAAATATTTCAGACAGGTAAGCATTGTTTTCTTTTTATATATTCTTCTTCTTTCTTGTGCGTTCGCTATTAAAATGGCTGTTGGCGTATTGTGCTTTTGTTGACATCTTGGCTTTAGTCTCAACACATCTGGATTTCAGCAATTTCACAGTGAGAGACCTTTTACGACATGCTTGTCAGGGTAACAGTGCGTCTATTGTATGTTTATCTATCCGCCTCTCTCTGTGTGGGTTCATCTATTTTTCTGTCTACACAGCATCCGTCAATCTTTCAATAACTGTCGCCGTATAGCCGCCAGTTTGTCCGCCCTTCCATTCATCATACCCTTAACCCATCCATCCTCCTATCCGGCGATCCCCTCAACCATCCATCATACCCTTAACCCATCCATCCTTCTATCCTGCGATCATCTCAAATATCCATCATACCCTTAACCTATCCATCCTTCTATCCTGCGATCATCTCAACCATCCATCATACCATTGACCCATCCATCCTTCTATCCTGCGATCATCTCAACTATCCATCATACCCTTAACCCACCCATCCTTCTATCCTGCGATCCCCTCAACCATCCATCATACCATTGACCCATCCATCCTTCTATCCTGCGATCCCCTCAACCTTCAATCATACCATTGACCCATCCATCCTTCTATCCTGCGATCATCTCAACTATCCATCATACCCTTGACCCATCCATCCTTCTATCCTGCGATCATCTCAACTATCCATCATACCCTTAACCCATCCATCCTTCTATCCTGCGATCTCTCAACTATTCATCATACCCTTAACCCATCCATCCTCCTATCCTGCGATCATCTCAACTATCCATCATACCCTTAACCCATCAATCCTTCTATCCTGCGATCTCTCAACTATCCATCATACCCTTAACCCATCCATCCTCCTATCCTGCGATCATCTCAACCATCCATCATACCCTTAACCCATCCATCCTCCTATCCTGCGATCATCTCAACTATCCATCATACCCTTAACCCATCCATCCTTCTATCCTGCGATCCCCTCAACCATCCATCATACCCATAACCCGTCCAGCCTCCTATCCTGCGAATCTCTCAACCATCCATCCATGGGTGGGTGAGGCGTAGGATGGATAATTAGATGGATAAATGGGTGGGTGAATGGATGAATAGTTTATGGAGGGATACATGGATCCATCCATCAGTCGACCCATCCATCCTTCATTTCCTACATACTCCCAGACGATGACAAATAAGTTATTTACCGTGATTGTTATTAGGGCAGATGTTCGAACCCAATCAAGGGAGGTAAGTGTGTCGCCGTGGCCGAGCGGCTAGACGCTCGCCGCGGATCGGAAGGTCGTGGGTTCGCTCCCTGGCGGAGCCGGACTATTTTCAAAAAGAACCTTGGCTCCCAGGTCGACCCAGCCTTGAGTGGGTACCGGGTGCAATCCCGGGAAGTAAAGGCGGCCGACATGATGCTGACTACATCACCCATCTTGTGCCGATTGGTCTATAAAAATATAGGTCTAGCCCTATATGCCCTATACGCCTAAAGGCGTGGAAAAGGGTCCTTTACTTTTACTCTTTTTTACTAGGGAGATCAGCTCGCTCACATATCCGAAGGTCATGGGTTCAATTGCGAACTAAGCTGAGCTTTTTATTTTAAGTGACCTTGGCTTCCAGGTTGACCTATTCTTAATCAGTACCAGAAAAGTTCCAGGGAAGTAAACGGGGAGTGTCATACGGGCACCCACCGAGTGCCGACTGTTCTATGAAATATAGGTCTATCTGTGTATGCCTAAAATCTCTGAAGACATCAACATGATTGTTAACTCTTTGCTTTCCCTGTGAAGTAGAGAATCATTCCTGGCTGTATGATGCTAGCAGCATAATTTTATGAATTATCGATACTCATTAAACGATGTTATCAATACTACACTGATAGCATTTACTTCCCAAAACGTTTCCGGCATCCATTGTTTGTGTGTAAATTATCTACGTAGGTATGAGAATTTGATCACACGAAATAAAGCAATTATTTTTAAAGCAAATATTGCACAGACATTTAAAGAAATACAAATATTTTTTATAAAAACGTAAATATTAGGCAATTTAAAAAAAAATCATAGAAAAAATTAGAAATAATATTATCAGACAGACTGTGGGAACGACGCCATGCAGTCAATTCCCTGAGAAACAGAAGATGGAATGGTTTGGTCATCACATTCGAACGCAGGCAGAACAACTATCAACTGAAGTGGCAGGCAGAACAACTATCAACTGAAGTGGCAGGCAGAACAACTATCAACTGAAGTGGCAGGCAGAACAACTATCAACTGAAGTGGCAGGCATAACAACTATCAACTGAAGTGGCAGGCAGAACAACTATCAACTGAAGTGGCAGGCACAACAACTATCAACTGAAGTGGCAGGCAGAACAACTATCAAATGAAGTGGCAGGCAGAACAACTATCAACTGAAGTGAAAGTAAGAGGTCGCCTTGAGATCAAATGGAATGATGACATTAAAGAGCTTCTACACGGACACGGAAAGATAATAGCTATTGCTGCCCATCAAGTAGTGGATCACAAACTGCTCCTTCCCACAACGCGTAACAGAAGAAGTGGAAATTGATTCTGATGAACAAACTAGTACAAGCAGACAACTCGAGGCTAAAGTGTGTACTAGCACGTACAGGCGACCCGACCCATCAAGTGCCGACTGGGCCATAGAAAAATTAGTCTAATATTATTTTTTTTTTTCGCACGCGAGCGCACACACACCCGCACGCACGCGCGGAGAAAGAAGGGTAGACAGCACGTGCGATTATTTTCCCACGTTCCAGAAAAAGGAAAGCTTCACAAAACAAATAACAGTTTTGTAAAAACCAACATGATGACTCAAGGAAGAAAGCAGAATATGCAGGAAAAGCAGGGTGACCTCGCCGAAGACGTAATCTTTGACCCACAGGTAAAAAACAATGTTTACATTACGTCCAAAAAGTAATTTCTTCAACCGCGTTGCAACCTGTCGATAACTCGTCTGCCGCGTTCTCACCTGTATTATCCTCCCCTTTTTCTGTTTGCCTGGTCGTTTGTTGAGATGACAATCAGCTGGTTGCCTTGCCTAGCGGCTCTAGTGTCCGCCCATGGTTCTTAAGTTCCCGGGTTATTCTATACCTGGAATTTTTCCGGGAATATCTGGTTTATAACGATATCCTTTGACCCTTTGAAATAATATCAACACATATGGAAAGCAGAAATGGTCAGTTTTACTACAAGTAATCATTAAAAATTCATGCCTACAGTCTAGCAGATAACCTGCAATAGAAAACGAGTATAAGCTAGGCTTCCCCCTCCCTCCCCCCCCCCCCCCGCCCCTTTTCAAACATATTTTTCTATTATTTGGTTTTACTGGGGGTTGGTGGGGGGGGGGGGGGGGAGTGGTGTGTGTTAACATTCTTATCACAGGTCAGTCACGTTGCTTTACCGAAACACCTGTACGTAGTCGTTTTTATTACAAGTTCAAATGTACAGCTTCAAAACTCTTGACGCCCCCTTGCGCCCCGTAAGAAGCCCGTGTTAAGGTTAAAAAATACGTGTATATACTTATATATGATGCAGACAACTGGAATACACCAACATCAGATCGGGTCTTTTATTAAGTCAGCTGAAACATCCCCTTAGAGAGCGGCTCTCAACTCACAGGGAGTCAAACACCCGACCCTGTCACAGGGGTCGCCAAAGATCATCAGAAAACACGTATTCACTGAAGTTATGAAGTAGCAACGAAAATACGTGTGTGGTTGGGGATCGCCACAACATGGGGAACTGTATTAAAGGGTCGCGGCTTTAGGAAAGTTGAAAACCACTGCCTTAGGGCAATTTTTTAGAGCTTATTTTCAGTGGACTTCACAATTAATATGTATGCGTCTTTATTTTAAACATACTTAACAATAATAATATATGTTATCACTTACTTAAAGCAATAATTTAATGCAAACATTATAATTTATATTTATTTATGCATTTATTACTTTATAATTCAATATGTCTGACGTCTGTTTTAACGAAGGTGCAAAATCAATGTAACTGTCTGTTGATCTTAACTGAGGCTTATATATCAGGTGGGGCTTATTATACTAGCATTCTGAATGAATGTTGAACATTGAATGTTGAGCTGAGAAATAAGATTACAACACTCGCTACATTCTCATAAAAGCTCAGCACCAACCTTCAGCAGCATGCGAAGAGTTACAATTTCAATGGTAAACTGTCTGATTGTACATCCGTCTCGCCTGTCCTTGAGTGTTGAGCGTCGGTCAGATCTCCTGTTAAGGCCTTGCAGCACCATACTCCACAGACCATAAAGATCTATTCAAGGTTCCGCACTGTTCACTCACTCCCAAAGGGCCCGCACAAAATCTAGCTTGTCATATATCAGTTCACAACCAAGTGGTACAGAACCGGTCAATCTATCTGTTTGCTCGTTTCCCTACACACCGGCATGACATAGAGACAATATCCAAAGAACGCGAACTATCCGGAACCTTTGAAGTGATGCTTGCCACTCTGCACGGAGCATGCTTGTCTCCACCTTTCTCAGCATGTGAGTCAGTCAAAATTACGACATGTGTGTACAGCTGATTCTTAAACCAGCGGAAGGCAGCAGTGACTGTCTCCACCTCCATTCTCAAACTATACCTTGTGATATCATATGCCAGACTTTGTTGCACTAAGCGACGTCCATTTGCTGTCGTCCTGAACCAACATCCTGACCAATCATGTTGGGTCTTAATTCCGAGGATACACCATATACACCGAGGATACAACATTCACACCGATGATACACCATTCACACCAAGGATACACCATTCACACCGAGGATACACCATATACACCGAGGATACACCATATACACCGAGGATATACCATATACACCGAGGATACACCATTCACGCCGAGGATACACCATATACACCGAGGATACACCATTCACACCGAGGATATACCATATATACTGAGGATACACCATTCACACCGAGGATATACCATATACACCGAGGATACACCATTCACACCGAGGATACACCATATACACCGAGGATACACCATTCACGCCGAGGATACACCATATACACCGAGGATACACCATATACACCGAGGATACACCATTCACGCCGAGGATACACCATATATACTGAGGATACACCATATACACCGAGGATACACCATTCACACCGAGGATACACCATATATACTGAGGATACACCATATACACCGAGGATACACCATTCACACCGATGATACACCATTCACACCGAGGATATACCATTCACACCGAGGATACAACATTCACACCGAGGACACACCATTCACACCGAGGATACAGCATTCACACCGAGGATATACCATTCACACCGAGGATACACCATTCACACCGAGGATATACCATATACTGAGCAAGTCGCTTAGAATTAACAAATAATAGAGAAAGGAAACGTTCCTGAACTCTGTCAGTACCAAGGAACTTACAGTACGTTTATAAGACATTCTTTGTATTGTAGACACTTCTTCACCCTGTCTAGTCCCTTATTCTGATTTAGTAGACTTTAATAGTAATACACACTAAAAAACGGAAATCAAGGAGTTTCCGGGAACATCCAGTATTGTAGGAGTATAATAGGTTAGAGTTATGGTCAGGGTAAGCCGGTGTCTCTGAGGCGATCTGACCTGACAAAGAACAGTATCACTTTCATGCCAAGGCACGCTTGAGTTCTCTTGGTATTGTCCCACCAAATTCATTTAAAACCACAATACCCCTAGAGTTTTGGAGTGTTCCCAAGTTTCCTTTGTTTGGGGTTAATTAAAATTAAAGTGCTACCAGTTTTATCCCAGATGTGCCTATAGCTCATTCTGTCACAAAGCTGTATTCTTCATTATCCTAAAAAAAATATTGCTTTATGGTATACAAAAAAATCACGTTAGGATACGCGTGCTTGAATTAAGAAATACCTGCCACCGAAACGCCTAATAAAGAAACTGACGCGACTTTCTCAGACGATCAGAAACCATGTTTGTGGAACAACTGAAGAGTAATGTTAGTTTATTTATCTGTCTGTGATTGCCACTGACTAGCCTCTACACAACACGACAGACAGTATGTAGCACAGACCAAGACACTCTGCCTCAGCCAGGGCATTAGCAGATCTCCAAACACTGGTCGCCATGTTATCTCCAAACACTGGTCGCCATGTTATCTCCAAACACTGGTCGCCTTGTTATCTCCAAACACTGGTCGCCTTGTTATCTCCAAACACTGGTCGCCTTGTTATCTCCAAACACTGGTCGCCATGTTATCTCCAAACGCTGATCGCCTTGTTATCCCAAAAAACACTGGCCGCCATGTTATCTCCAAACGCTGGTCGCCTTGTTATCTCCAAACACTGGTCGCCATGTTATCTCCAAACACTGGTCGCCATGTTATCTCCAAACACTGGTCGCCATGTTATCTCCAAACACTGGTCGCCATGTTATCTCCAAACACTGGTCGCCATGTTATCTCCAAACACTGGTCGCCATGTTATCTCCAAATACAGGTCGCCATGTTATCTCCAAACACTAGTCGCCATGCTATCATGAAACACTGGCCGCTATGTTATATCCAAACACTGTTCGCCATGTTATCTCCAAACACTGATCGCCATGTTATCTCCAAACACTGGTCGCCAGGTTATCTCCAAACACTGGTCGCCATGTTATCTCCAAACACTGGTCGCCATGTTATCTCCAAACACTGGTCGCCATGTTATCTCCAAACACTGGTCGCCATTTTATCTCCAAACACTGGTCGCCATGTTATCTCCAAGCATTGGTCGCCATTTTATATCCAAACACTGGTCGCCATTTTATCTCCAAACACTGGTCGCCATTTTATCTCCAAACTCTCTCGACTAATCCAAACAGTGCAGCGGTGTGCGAACCTAAGGGTTATGGACAGAGACGTTATCATTTTGAGTATATCTAATACATTACAAATTATTTGTTTTTTTTTTAACGTAAATAAAAATATTATATTTATTTGCCTTTCAAAACAGTGTCATCATCTTCGTCGTCATAATAATAATAATAATAATAATAATAATCATTATCATCATTATCATCGTCATCATCATTATCATCATCATCGTCATCATCATTATCGCCATCATCATTATCATCGGCATCATCATCATCGTCATCACCATCATCATCATCGTCATCACCATCATCATCATCATTTTCATCATCATCATTATCATCATCATTATCATCATCATCATTGCCATCATCATCGTCATCATCATTATAATCATCGTCATCATCATCA